CTTGTTTATTTATTTTTTTCTGCTGATATTCTTGTTGCTGCTGCTGATGCTGCTGCTGCTGCTGCTGCTGTTGCTGCTGCTGCTGCTCATTATTTTGATTGTACACACACACACGCACCTACTCTACAGTCCTTTCTTTAGCGTTGCATCTCAGTGGGATGTGAACTCGTCTCTATTTTCTCCCATTGATTCATTTTTTGTGCTCTGTGAAATGTTGCCGTGGAAACAGGAGGCAGCCAGCGTAAAACACACACACACACACACTTTTCTATTCGTCAACACTGCAGGAGTCTCATTGAGCAAAGCTGCGAGTCTTTCGCCTCCTCAATCTTTACCCATCTTATCTCTGCTTTACTGATGATGATGATGATGATGATGATGAAGACGATGATGCTCTCTCTGTTTCTTTGGTTCAGTTTGTTTAATTCCTTCCCTCTTTCCTGCCTCACCATATACACTACATCCATTCATTTTTAAAGCCCCAGTGAAGCATTTAGAGCTGGGTTTTTTTGGCAGATATGAAATGCCTGGAAACAACTGTCTAAATATATAAACCAGAAAAAGAAACCTTCTCAACACCGAGGCAGCAGATTTGAACAACACCTTTAATGTTGTCAGGTCTCCTGTATTCAGGTCCAAGTCACAGAATAACATTTTGAATAAACGTCTAAATTGCGGTCAGAGTGTGAGTCTAAGTTGGTTTTGCCCTGAGTTAAGTCCAGATGATGTCCTCCAGGATTTAACTCAGCAACCTGGTCACTGACCAAAATGAAGGCATAACATTTTATACAGTTTTTCTTCTAAGTCTATAGTCAAACTGAAGAGAGTTTGTCAAAGTCAAAGTCCAGGACAGTGGAATGAGTTTTGGTTGGAGCAGAGTTGGGTCTTCAGGCTACAAATTGAAGGTCATCTCTTCAGGGTTCTTCAGGAGTTAGAGTCTGAAACACAGATCGGTGTTCTTCAGTCCCAGTGGACTCCCGGGGGTCCGGGTGTGCCTGGTTAAGAACAACTACATGGAGGTACGTGAGAGCCACTGACGTTTCCTCAGAGCCAGGGAAACTACAGTGGTTCTGTAGTAGTACTGCAGTTTTTTCAGCCTTCACTCTCCTTCACTCCAGTTCTTGGTTTCTAGAACAGACTTGTGAACAGTTTGTGGATGAAGAGCAGCTGAAACATTGGACTCTTTACTAAATTGTTGACTCTCTGTCTGTGTGTATCACGTATTGTAAACCATACGTACTGTGTGTGTGAACGTGTACTTGTGTGTGTGTGTGTGTGTGTGTGTGCAGGCTGCCTGTTTGTGTGGTCTGATCAGTGTGTCATTGTGTGTCCCCTCTCCCTCTCCCTCCTCCCACCAGTCACCCCAGAGGCCATCGGCTTCCTGTCGGCCGTCGGCGTCTTCATCGTGGCGTTGGCCGTCCTCTTCCTCTTCATCAACAAGAAGTTCTGCTTCTCTCGTGTGGGTGGACTTCCCTGTCTGGAGGAACATGGACGGAGGAGACGAGGAAAGCCCGGGATACGACAGGGACTTGGTGAGTGACACAAAGACCAAAGACACTGCCTTCTGGTTTCTGACTCACAGAGGTCTGAAAAACTGGTTCATGACGAAGACGAGTTCTCACTGCACGCCAAATCTGACTTCTCTTTATTCCACATGTCACGCTGAGTCATTTTGTTTGGCCTGTGAGATGCCTTATAATGAAATGGTGAAAATGACTTTGACCCCCTGCCCTACGTGATGGAGCTAATCATTGGATTGTCAGAGTCTTGCTCACTCCCCAGGTGTGGGGTGGTGACGGGAAATCTGCAAGTTTGCATATGTGGACAGGATTTATTTTGCTTCGCCCTGTAGTAAAAACACATGTTACAAACATTTAAGTTGAGTGAAAAACCCAGAGACATCTATGACTATTCATTAGTTGTTTTTTTATCTTTCTATTCCTCCCACTTGTCAAACAATGAAAACACCCACAGAAAAACCTGTCAACACTGGAGGGAAGGTCTCAAGGTTTTTTTATTACTTGCCCAATGCAAACAAATGCAGAAAAGTTTGTTATTTCGAGAATGTAGTTCCGCTTCCTTGGTCTGTAGGTGGTGCTAATTAGTCATTTAAAAAACCTTATTAAATCATATAAATTTACTGAAGTTCATACTATATAATTCTACAATTGATTGTCCACTGGATATTTAAAATATTGTTAGCAGAGATTTAGCACTGCGCTAGTAACAACTGAACAGGCAACGTGCAAGAAGAATTTTATTTTAACCGCTGGTCAGTCCAGTCTAGTCCAAGCTAACTCTGCCAGCGACCTTCTAGTTTCTTCTTTGGTGTTTACCAGCAAGTCTGATTCATCTGAGTTGCATTACTGCCACCTACTGGGTGGAGTTTTCTCTAGTAACTACATCTCAAGAGTGATAACAAAACCACGCTGATGTCCACAGGAATAACTAAATGAACATTTACAATGATTGTATAAATTATTTTGTAAGATTATCCTGCTACTATAGCTTATACTAAAGCTTTTTTTAAATTTAATTGTATATTTTTGTTACCTGGCTAACAGTTACTGTAGCTAACTTTAGTCTAAATGCGTTCACAGCTAATCTTAGCCAGCAGCAGCGGCAGCAGGAGAGCTAAAACAAACACAAGAGCAGGTTTTCCTGAGCTCACCTGCTGCAGGTGGAGTCTCTCTGCACAGTCAGTTTCCTTTAGCAAACATCACGGCCAGTTTTAACCTGTCGCCTCATATTTAAGTCTGCAAACTTTGTGGAGCTTCACGTTAAAGCAAGAAGGACGCAGGTAGGATAAAGATCATCGGTTATGTTTGGTCTGTGTCTTTCAGGAGTAAGAAATAACTTTGTTTGCTTTTAAAAGTAAAAACTGATGTTTTGTAACAAAACAAAACAAATGTAGAAAAAATAACTTTGTGTTTATGTTAATTCATTTAAATGATTGTTTGTTTGATGAGTAGTTTGACGTTTTTCTCGTGAATGTAACTTTCAAACGCCTGTGGGTGGCCGTGTCTCGGGACCTGTTGTTATTTTACTCTGTTTACAGAGTATTAGGAAAAGAAAATACAGGAGTACTTTTCAAAAATGCAGTTTGAACAAGGCAAAATCCACCGTGTGTGTGTGTGTGTGTGTGTGTGTTGCTACAGCAGACAGAAGTTAACAGATCAGTCATTGCTCGCCCACTCCTCAGGCTTCCTGCTCTGTGGGTAACCATGGCAATTGTTCAGGTAGATGTGGTGTGTGTGTGTGTGTGTGTGTGTGTAAAACACTGCTGCTGCTACAGCGTCATTCATTCAGCAGTTGCTATCTTATTATGGACAAATTACAGAGTAAGTGAAGGACCCTTTGAGGTGTGTGTGTGTGCGTGTGTGTGTGTGTGAGATTCTACCTCCTGAAGCTTTAATGTACTGTCATCTGGACTGTCTTTGCTCTAACTGCCTGGTTCTGCTGAATAAAAATACTTCAGTGTCATCGGCGTAGAAAAGGACTTCTTCACTGAAAATGAACCATGACCAAATGTTTGGGACTATATTTCAGACAGAAACCTCTGTTGTTGGAATGATCACTCTGTGATGACGCCTTGATCATATTTGTCCAAACTTCTTCTTATTACCCACTCTCTCAGCTTCTTCCCGTTGTCACCCCGTGTTCTCCTGTGTTCTCCTCCCCCCAGTGAACAGCTATGGTGCCACTGATGAGGACGAGGACGACCTGACTTCCTCCGACAGCGGCGATGAAGTCCTGAAACAGTTTGAGATCTCTGTGTCGCGTTCTCAGAGTTTTCGCTGTGCGACGCCCGCAGCAGCTCCAGCAGCAGTGGGTGAGGATGAGCAGAGGTCCCAGAAGGCTCAGCACTCATTGGGTCGACGCCACAAGTTCACTCGACTGTCGGAGCAGGAGGAGGGCAGCACTGAGCCGTCGGACTGTGAAGGTGAGGTGTTGAACCAAATGGAAACCATCGCCTGTGCGAAACAGTTCCATGGTTCTGTCGGTACCACATGAGTTCACTTGAGTTAGGGACTGCAAAATGGGCATTGGTTTGGAACTAACAACATGGAACATCAGGAATAAAGTCATATATATTTAAAAACACTAAAAGTTACACTGAGAACTTTGATAAAATTGAATCAAAATCCGAGATCTTTACAATAACAAAACACAGAACCTTTAACCTCCGCCCAGAAGTAATGAAACATTTTAGCTAAAATGTGTTTGTTTGGAAACATAAATGTTTTCTTTTGTTGGAATGAGCTGTTGACCTTTTTGAGGAGGTCTGGGTCGCTGTGTCTCCACAGGTATTTACACATACAGACACACAAATGAGGACCATAGTTGGTGAGTCAGCTTTCCCAGAACGGGAACACTCCGTACAGTGGTTGCTGTCACACCCCCAAGAACCTTATTGACGTTGATTAGGAGATAATCACATTAGAATAATCTTGGGTACACACTGTTCTCACAGTTGACGCGTCTCCTGGTGGAAAAGGCCACAGTTTGATAGATGACACAATAACTTCTCTGTTACAACACCGGTCACAAGCTTGGTGAAGTCAGAGCCAACGCTAGAGGATATTTGGACTGATTCAGGATCAGATCTGCCCCTTCATTAGTCGCTGATTAAACCAGGAACAGATATTGTTTGACGTCAGATCGTTATACATCAAGGCACTGGGCTAAGTTCATGTCTTTGGTGAAATTATGCTTTGGTGTCACCGATCTCTCTCTTGAAATAATTGTTTATTTTCTGAGGGATTACAAAATCACCCTGTCCAGTAGAGGGTGCTGGAGGTGATTGTGAGAGCCGTCCCTGTGTCAAGATAAATACAGGAGGATATTGTCCAAACACTTGATTTCCGATTCCAATATCAACCGATACCGATATATGCAGCCGTTTACAGCACACCAGTGCACACGTTACATTACACAGTGGTGTCACAGTGACGATCATTCATGTTGACATTTACTTCAAAACGGTTTTCAGGTCACATCAACGCAGACATTGCGATATCGAGTTTTCATTATCAGAGGGAAAAAAAAAACGATTCTTACCGATATTACATAATTATACTAATATCGTCCGAATAATAATTTCCCT